TTTCATTTCAAATTTCTGTCCACCAGTACACTTTAATTCCATCCAGCTCCCTTTCTCAAACACAGTCCGATATCTTGGCATTCTCTTAGACAGACGACTAACGTGGAACGCTCATACTAGAATTAAAAGGCAGGAACTTAATACGGCTAACTGTACAGACTACTAAATAGAAAATCTAAACTTTCTATTGAAAACAAAATACTTATTTACAAGACAATACTGAAACCTATTTCAACATACGGACTTAAACTGTGGGGAACAGCAAAATTTTCTAACATCAAACAAATCCAATCCTTCCAGTCTAAAGTCTTTTGAACAATAGTTGATGCTTCTTTCTATGTAACCAACAAAACCCTACACCATGACCGTAAAACCATACACTTTATCCCAGAAAAACTCCCCAAATTTCACCAGAACCACATCTATTATCTGAATCCCCTTTCACGATCCATCCTATAATCCTCCAAGAAGGTTAAAACGGCAGTGGCCCCGCGATCTTTAATAGTTTAAAATCTACAAGACAGTGAAAGTGCAGTCAAAAAAAGGTTTTTAACTCTACAACAGAGTGTAATTTAAAGGCGTTGCCAATGACCCTACAGGGTAGAGGCAACAAAATATAAAATAAATAAATAACTTTAAAGCTAAGCTTGGAGGAGTCTATGAATAGCCTCCATTCAGTTGGATCATGGTTCAAATTCAAAGATTTCATCAATCCACTAATGCCGCAGCAAACAACTTTTTTTGCCGTAAATGCGGCATAGTCTGAAATACCAGCTGGAAAAATGCCTCAACAACTCCCTCCTCATAACACCTCGTCACCATAGGGTCAAGTTCGAGTTGAGGATCCTTAGGGAAAGGAAATTCACCTGCTTTGACGAGGTATATTGCATCGATAATGAAGGCTCTACGAGATACGCGGATATTACCGCATTTCCCAAAACAGGAGGGACAGCGCTGATCTTGGAACCAACTGTCCGCGTTGAGAGCAATGACCTCGATCAGGCGGGTGAAGTGAAAGGAATTCTTTGATCGAAACATAAAAAAGATCATTTATTCTGGGGGCAACCACAACAGTATTTCCCTAGAAATCTTTTATGAGTGCTTTGTTTTTTTAAAAATGCCACACTAAAATCTTTTCGATCATTTTTCCAACTGATAATTTTTTATTTATTTATTGAATAATATTACATTTTGTAACTTGGGCAATGGTTATAGAGAGGTATGACCACATTCACACATATGTACAAGAAAATATAACATAAACAGAAGCAAAATAATAACTAAATTATAATAAAAAATTATATTATACTGTTGAGTGCTGTTTTCTGAGCCCGAATTGCTCGTTAGATATCAGGCTATTTTGAGATATATGGCTCAGGATTCTTTTTAGAAGTAGCTTTTCAAAAAGTTTTGAAATTATATTAAGTAGACTTATTGGTCTGTAACTACGAACATCTGCTGGGTCTTTGTTTGGCTTCGGAATCGTTATGATTTTTGCTGTTTTCCAAGCCGTCGGGAAATATCTAAAGCGAAGCATACAGTTATACGTCTTTGTTAGGAATAAAATAGCCTTTTTGCTTAATTTCTTAATGGCAATTGGAGGTATAGAGTTTGGACCGGGTGATTTTTTAGTTTTTAACTGCTTTATAACCTGTTTTACCTCTTTGAATGAGATTGAAGGGAATGTATTTGGAACGGGTTCTTTGAGAAAGCTTTTTACGGATTTAATGATAGTTCGATTGTGGTTGTTGGTGCCTAGATCAGCCGAAATATTATATGCTAATGTGAAATAGTTTGCCATGGCTTCTGCCTTCTCTGTATTAGAATAGGCGAAATTGTTTGCTAGTTTGATTGGAGGGATATGGTGAGGACGATTTGTTAGAATTTTGTGTATTTTCCAAAATTGTTTACTACCAGGGGACAGTTCCCTAAGAGTTTCCTGCCACTTTAAGTTCCTCCAACTATTTAAACGAATTTTTAGGTTGGCATTTAATTTGTTAAAGAGGCATTTATACTTTATGTTCCTGGTGAGCTGGTATTTTTTTCCGGAATTTATTTTTTATAAAAATAAAAAATTGAAGTTGGGGAGGTATGTTGTCGGGTTTGTATTGACAGGATACCTGTGGAATTGATTTTATCATGCCAGTTTTGACAGTCTCCATAAATTTATCGATGTTAAAATCTATATCGGAGGTTTTTATTATAACGGGGTTAATATCTAGATTTTTATCTATGATTTTCCGGAATTTTTCCCAATCAGCCAATTTGTAATTGAATTTTGGGATCGTGCTGGTTTTTATGGTTTTATTTTCCAATCGAAAGATCACCGGGTTATGGTCCGAACTGAGACATGGTACCGAGATAAGGCGAGAAACATCAGAAATATTTTTGGTTAGGGCTAAACCAATAATGCTAGATTTGAATTTTTTCTGAGTTGGTATGTAAGTTGGCTCGTTTGGAGCATGCAATTCAATATTTTTCCGTGATATCAAATTTAAAATAAAGCTTTCTTTCTATCTATCTATCTATTTATATACTTGACATCACTTGGTGATATTACCGCATATCCTAAGAGAAGAAAAAGGAAAAAAAAAATTAGTACTAAATTGTTTTAGCTGTACACACGGTAAATATAACTGTTTTAATATATCCTGGTATGTGGCCTGTATTGAGTGAAAAATATTTACAGATATTTCTCTGTAAAATAAGTAAATTTTGGCAGCCGATGTGGAAACAACCATTGATATCGTCAGCTGATCGATCAGGTGTTGCGTAGTGTATATTGTTTTTTCAAATTTACTTATCTTAAAATTATTATATTTAATTTATTGTATATAATTTTTTATTATAATTTAGTTATTATTTTGCTTCTGTTTATGTTATATTTTCTTGTACATATAGTGTGAATGTGGTCATACCTCTCTATAACCATTGCCCAATTGACAAAATGTAATATTATTCAATAAATAAATAAAAAATTATCAGTTGGAAAAATGATCGAAAAGATTTTAGTGTGGCATTTTTAAAAAAACAAAGCACTCATAAAAGATTTCTAGGGAAATACTGTTGTGGTTGCCCCCAGAATAAATGATCTTTTTTATGTTTCGATCAAAAACTCTAGCAACATTTCAAAATTGTCTACTGATACTACTGCTAATAAACAAATAAATTTATGACCTAAAAAAAATGGGAAATTTAAATGAACATTTTCTAAAATATAGATTAAAAAAATGAAACAGTAGAGGATCTAAAATTGAATTTATCTCAAAAACTTCACGATTGCGACAGTTGCATTAAATGAAAAGTAACTTTTACTCTTTTCTCAGTCTGCAGGTGTTCCTCAAGGAAGTATCGTAGGTTCTATCCTTTACACAGTTTATACAGCTGACATCTCAACCAATCCCAACACTGTCATCACCATATATGCAGAAGACACATATATCCTATCAGTTATTAACGACCCATTTATTGCATCCCAAACCCTTTAATCCCATCAAATTACCTTCACTCTTCGTCGTTAACCAATGACTTCCTGTCCTTCAGTATCCTTTAACAACACCTCACTTATTCCTGTTGAACAAATCCGTTACCTAGGACTCCATATGGACAAACGTCTAACTTGGAATCCTCATACCAGACTGAAACGACAAGAAACAGCTCGACGTTTCCGACTACTTCAACACTTACTAGACAAACGCTCTAACCTTCCAGTTAATTATAAAAGACTCATTTACATGACTATAATAAGGCCTATTTGGACTTACGGAGTTGAGCTATGGGGCTCCACCAAATCTTCAAATTCCTCTCGTATCCAATCCTTACAATCCAAAATCCTTCGTTAAATCCTCAATGCTCCTTACTTTGTTACAAATAAAATCATCCATAATGACCTTAATGTTCCTTATGTATCAGATTTGGCCCAATCCAGATAACTGTCCTTCCATAATAAACTTCATAACCATCCCAATCCTCTTGTTTCTAGCCTTGCTTCCTATTCAATTCCTGATAACCCTCTGAGGCGTCTGAAAAGAAGATGGCCACGTGATCTCCTAATATAGACATATTATTAGAGTGCTACCAATGGGTAGTTTCTCAACATGTGTTTCATGTCATTATATCCATGTGCGAATTTACTAGATGTATTTTTTGTATACAGTTGTAAATATCTTATAAATAAATTTAAAAAAAAAAACTTTTACTCCATTTCCTCTCCACGAAGAAACTAAAAATTTAAAAATCTTAGAAATCGTTCACTCGGACGTTGTGGGACCGAGTCATGGCGGTGCAAAATATTTTCTTACTTTTATCGATTAAGCCAGTCTATATACTCAACTGAACTTTCTGAAAAATAAAAATCATGTTTTAAGAAAGTTCAAATATCAAGCCGAAACTTTAACCATAAAAACAATTAGGTACTTAAAAAGTGATAACGGCGTTAAATACAAATAATCAAGGGTGCCCATCCTTCCCAAGGACGATGCCGCATGAACTTCCCCCTTCCTCCCAAGATTTTTTATACTAATTACTTTTATTACAAACAGTACAACCGAAAGTAAAATTAGAAAAATTGTAGATCATGTACTTGCGGTGGTCTGGTCCGTATTTCCCCCCTTGTACCCTAGATTGAAACTTTTTTACTATATTATAAATTATAATCCTGGCGAAATGTGCTTCCCTCAAAAATTCAAAATACAGTAAAAATGGCCATGACATTCCCTTCTGGACACCCCTGTAAATAATGATTTTCAAAAATTATTAAATGAATTCGAGATACAAAGATTACTATCAGCTCCACAAATACCGTAACAAAATGGCATCACTAAAAGAAAAAAATCGGGAATTACTTAATAAACCTCGATTTTGGCTATTGGAGTCAGATTTAGAAGCTTCTTTTTGGACTGAAGCAATTTTTAATACAAATCATTTCATAAATGGATCTTCTGATCTCCTACTAAGGTGTTAAATGGCTCCACTCCTTTCGATCCGAAAATAATTCAGGCATGTCCTATCTGTAAGCTACTTTCGAATTTTCGGATCAAAGGCATTGATGAGTAAAATAATTCTTTTTATACAAAAATCTACGTAAATCGTAATTTGATGCTCGAGCTTAAATTTGTTGGATATATAGAGCACTCTAAAGCCTACATAATATGGGACTCTTTTCAGAAGAAAGTAGCTATAGCCAGAGATGTTAAAATAATTAATCAATTCTACAAATGTGGAAATACCGCAATAACAATTCCATATGCAGAAGATAACAACTGCACTATTTTGCATAAAATAGATAAAATACCATGCAATGCCCAATGAACCTGATGCTGTTTCGATTATTTCAGAAGACACCCCGGATCTAGTAGCTGAGGGAAAATAGAATTCCTCGGGTTAATCAGACGTGGACAACTAAGATGAACGACGAGCCAGGACTGGAGACGAGACAGACTGGATGAACTCAGGAAAAGGAGACATCTAAAACCTCCTTCATGGACAGTTGACTACGAAATGTCTGCTTCATGTGAAGACAACTCTCATCCAGCTATTTGGAATCGTACTAAAAAAGAGGAAATTATGGTTCACTTTAAAAATGATACTTGGAAAATTACAAATTTAAGAAAAGAAATTAATATTACAGATCCTAAAATGGTTTAAAAAAATAAATATAATTCAAACGGACAACTTAAAAGATGAAAAGCTTGCTTGGTGGCGAGAGTGTTTACCAACGCCCAGGTTTAGATTTTTCTGAAACCTGTGCCCCAGTCGCACGACTAATCTCTATTAGACATAATTATTACTTAATTATGCATCAACTAGATGTGTTGGTAGCTTTCTTAAATGAATACATTTATAATAAATGAAGACATTTATATGTAAATTCTAGAAAATTTAGAAAAATATCTTTGCAAAATTCTTTTAGACGAGCTTAATGCCAATTCAATTCTTTCCAAAAGAGCCAAAAAAATGCTTGAAGATTTAAAAAAAATGGCGAAGACAAGCCTGACATCTCAATAAAGCACTTTACGGATTAAAATAGGCAATGAGACAATGGTTTAATAAATTAGACGCCAAAATAAAAGAATTAAACTTTGAACTATCTGTCGCAGATCCCTGCATATACATAAGTTCGAAAAGAGCGGTAAAGTTCATCATTGAAATTTATGCAGACGATTTAATTATTGCCCTTAATAATTTAAACGAATTAAAGTAATTAAAAAATTCATTAATGAATGCTTTTGAGATAAGGGACCTTGGAGAATTGAATTACTGTTTAGGTTAAGAGTTTTCCAAACGCAACTGTTCCATCTTCGGACCTCAAAGAAAATATATTGAGTCAATTTTAAATAAATTTATCATGGGAGACTGTAATCCTGTTAACACCCAGGATAATTTAATCAAGTTAACAGATTCAGGACTTAAATTAAACAAATCACCTAAATGTGAAATAAAGTACCCATATCAAAATTTAATAGGTACACTCATTTGTATATCAGTTGTCACTATGCCTGATATTAGTTACTGTGTTATTTGTTTTAGCCAATATGACGCATGCTTTAATAAAACACAATAGCTTGTAGTCAAGTGGGTTCTTCGATACCTAAAAGGAACCAGGGACTTAGCTCTGGAGTCAAAAAGCGGAATAGGCCTTTGTGTAGTTTTGCTGATGTTAGTTCTATTGCGGTGGACAGAAAATCCTATAAAGGCTATTGTTTTAAATATGCTGTGATGACTATCAGTTGGGAATCTCGCAAACAGCGCACAGTCGCGCTCTCAACACAGGAGGCTGAATGCAAGGCTTTCACAGACGTAGCAAAGGAGTTCACGCATTTGGAGCAGTTACTCACGGACATGGTTGCTCCGCATGAAGCCATCATCATTTTCAATGACAACACCTCAAAACCTCATTAATTTTTGTTCTCATTAAATCTTTATCAATAGTATCTGTGCGCTTAATTATTAATATACTACACTTTTGAATAGATAGTGTTAACGCTCGAATCTACGGATTTTATTTTCCTCTCTTTTTTATTTCATTTATTTTTTTCTCACCGTTTTACCCCTTTTTAAATGTTAATGAAAAAATTGTTTATTTTTGTAAAAGCTAAGATATAATTGTCCCAGAAATGTATATAATTTGTATATTAGGCATTATTATTATTATTATTGCGTTTGTGTATACGCTCCAGCCCGGCAGTAATACCCAATCTTAGGGATTAAGACATCAAAATAATGCGATAAAACTACCGGAAAGTCAGTCTGGAACGAGCTTTCGTTTGTGTTGGACCCACGTGTTGGACGTCTACCCCCACCATTTCACCAGCTCCAGACTCAGCTCACCTCACCTGGCACCAGCCTAGCGCCATTTTCTGATGACAGCTGTTCAGCGCATCGGCAGTCATCGGTCGAGATCGATATACATATCGTTACCCCTACCATCGACTGCTTTTGTCATTAGCTGTACAAGGTAATCTCGTTGGAAGCAGAACCTCCAAGTGGGATCTTTTTTTTTTCTCACCGTCACCAAAAGACATTTTTAATTCAGTGAAATATTTTTCTTCACTAAATTTATTTTCTACAACTTTCTGGTATTTTGTTGGATTTATTTTATTGGGTGACTTTTTTTTTTAACGTTAGAAGTTAATTTTTATATATGTTTTGTTTTTGATGGACAATTTGATTTCATTTTCACTGAATTATATTTTATGTTTGGTTTCATTTCAGTGCATTTTAATACCCTTTTCATTTGTTTGGTTTAACTTTTGTATATATATATATAATATATATATATAATATATATATATATAATATATATATATATATATTTTTTTTTTTTTTTTATCTCAATAATAAATATTGTAAACATTCAAAAAAGGGGCATTATTATTTTCTATTTTTACTGACTGAATGCTTTTATTTTAATATTTTCATGTGCATGTTTTTTTTTCTCTTTTACAGGTCTCATATTCACTCATTTCCCCCCCTTCTTTCCCACCATTTAATTTTGCTCGTATTTTCCCCACCTGTGAGGAAACTCACCGGGGAAAGGTTTGTATTTTAATTTTGAAATACCCCTGGCCCCAACAGATACCTTTAGTAATTAAATTTATTTTTCAATATTGTATTATTATTTTTAATTTGCATAAACCTTAACGTTATGAACTTTAACCAAGCTTAATTATAAGAAAAATAGAACTTATCATATCCTTTATTTTATTGTAAATTTGCAAAATATTGCTTGTACAAATACTTTTGGTTACCAGTTAAGTCCAACTGTCAAGTTTTGCACATAAATGTTGGTGCCCCCCTTTTGATTTTTTTTTAAATCTACCACATTGGCTAGTGAAATAAAACCAGACTATAGCGGATTTAAAACAAGAAAATTATTTTCATTTTTATCTTATTTACCAGTGATTAAATTTTATATGCTCATGCGCCTAAAAAAAAATCACATAATAGACTTGATAAAAGTGATTTGAATTCGTATATTTATATTTATTTTAATATTATAAATTTTGGGACAGATATTCTTTTAAATAATTTAAAAAATATCTAAGCAATTCTCTGTTGCTTCATTAACCTAACGAATTTAAATGTTTTTTAATTCACTGTATCAACACTGAGGTACACCATTTGCTTGTCACCTGTGTTCGTTATGATGATTTTATTTGATCGTTGATTTACAGTATATGTATTAAATTTTGCCTTCATGTGTTCTCGCAACAGCTCCAGTTATTTTGTTATTAGTTGTGTGGATATACTTAGTTAGAATCTCTCCATTATGTCACGCCATGAAGGTAAGTTTTAATTTTATAAAACTATTTATAGATGATTTTTTTCATTTATTATCGCTTATCTGTTAACATTGTTTTCATTTATTGACACTCTACTTGTTTCCGGCCAAATTTAGCCTTTCTTATACTTATCCTGTTTACTTGAAGCTTTTAATCTAAGTGTTTTTTGGATTGAAGAAAACTTTGTTGAATATATGATTAAGTTGGAATTGGAAAATTGGAAGTCTTTTAATCTTTTAGTTAATATTATGTGTTAGATCCATTACTGATAATGACTTTTTAAATTGACCAATTATTTTGAGATTAATGTTTTCAGACCAAATACTTTTTGCAACTCTAGTTACTAACCTCTTTATTATTAGTACGATTTGTGTCTAGTATTTGTTTACTTTATCTAGGATAATTTATAGCTTTGGTATTTTATCATGCATGTTATTTCCACCATGCTACTAATTGTTTTATTATTGTTATGATGAGCTATTCAGTCATAAATTGAAAAACATCTCTATAAATCACACAGATGAATAGTTTTATGTCTCGCCACAATGTATCGAGTTTAAAAATTTATAATTATTTTGTGATTCGTGGGTTATTATGTCCCTTGGTGTATGTTATCAAAATTTCTTAGATCTCAGGTTAGTCCAATGCTCTTTTATAAATAAGCTAAGAGGTTATCTTGACCGCTGATTTACTGAATGAATTTGAGATCTCTTCGATGTCTACGAATAGAAGCAGTACTGCAGATTTTGTTGATTTTCAATATTTTCCAAGATTTCTTTATTTCAGTTTTAGTTCTGTAATGGACATATTTGTATTGCCTTTTATAATTACAAGCCAGTATTTTATATCAATGTCTTTTATAATATCAATGAATTATACTTTTTCTTATCCTAGTGCCTTTGTGTGGTAATATTTATAATTCTGAATTTATTCCTCTTCCTTATTTTTTCATAAACCATTCTATATGATTTATGTGACTTTATTCAGCGATATATCTGAATTATGCAGGCTTAAATTAACTCTTTATTAGACTATTTTGAACAGAATACTTTTACATTTATAATTTTATTTGTTACTTTTTCTTTTTTTGCAGAAATGCTTAAAAAGGACTAGTTATCAGTGGTTTAAATGCTGTAAGTTTTTATAACCTTAAAAGTGAATAGAATTTAATGACAATCTGCATTTTATTCATAACTTCTAAATAAACCAACCAATTTCTAAGATTAAACAACTATTTGATTAAGTAAACTGCAGAAAATAAGAAATGTGTTTAAAGTCCCTTTTTTAGATCCATATTCCATACTTATAAAGCCATTTCATAAAAAATAAATAATGTTGTAATTTTTACTTCCAATAACGTATTTCTACTTTAAAATTTCCATTTTTTTTTACCATTACGGTGGAAATTCGTGCAAAAATCAGGCTCCTGCACTGAACATGTGAGACAGGAGAAACGTAAAGCTATTTTAATAAAAAACTCAAAGGGCTAAATTTGTGGCTGACATTTTTTTGTTTTTCTTATAAAACAGGGACAAAATGTTTTTTTGAGATATGGAATCAATAGCTGAACTTGGTGTTTCAGAAAATGTCGGTTTTCCCATATTTTATCCATATATGATATTTTTTTTATTATTTTATTTTTTTTATATATTATATTTTTTCCAAGCTTAATAATTGAATATTTTTAAAATTATTCCAAAGTCCAATAGACAGTTTGATACTAACCTACGTTTGTTAGAATTCTATTTCATTTTTCTACCTTCATTAAAAAAAGAGATATAAAATAAAATTGCGCGGCCTTAAAACTATTGGTAACTGTTGAGAAACTATTTATATTTATTAATCTCTATTATTATTATTTATCTCCACAATATACTTCCGAAAACTAAATTCTCTCACTTTTGAAAAACTGTCACAAGATCTTGACGATATACAGTGGAATCCCATTTATTCCTCAAAATCCATTCACACTATGGTAAAAACCCTTACCACTCATCTTCACTCCGTACTTAACCAACATGCTCCTCTTATCACAAAAACCATCCGATATCCTCCCGCTTTTTGGCTGACTCCTGCTTTGAGATAGTGTATATAAGAGGAAGGGGTGCTGCAAGGTGACGGTTTAAACAAACTCAACTTCCTAAGATATCCTCTTTCAAAAGGCTTCGAAACAGCACTCAATCCATACCATGCCAAATCCTGTTACTACCATCATTCCTTATTTAACTCCCCTGATACCAAGGCCACATGGGCTATTCTTAGAAAACTGACCATTGGTAATACTCCTCAGTCTCAGTCCATTTCCGTTTCTGCTGATAACCTCAACACTCACTTTTTCTCCTATCCTTTCTCAACCTCATCTCCTGCATCCACTCCTGCTCCTATGTATTCCTCTTTTAGGATCACTTCCCCCCCCCCCACATTACCCTGATGGTCACATTAACTCCATTCAGAAGTTACTTACCAACGATTATGGTCCCGATAAAATTCCAGTCAGAGTGATTAAAGCCGCACTTCCATTCATTCTTCCGATTCTTTATAATTTTTCCAATAATACTGTTTACTCTTATATGTTTATATTAATCATTTTTCTGATGTTATTTTGTATTTTTTAATTTTTAGTCCCTATGGTGACCCACATATTTGGGTCGAAATGTCAGAAAATTTTTCAGAAAATGTACTTAAAAAAGAAATTTTTGGCTGCACGTCCTCACAAGTTTTCATCCTTATAATTTCAACAGTCAACTATATACCCATCTATAAAATAACATGTGTTTAGCACATTTAAAATTTCAGATTTTTTTCCAAAACTTGGACTGATTGGTCCCTAATTTTTGTATTATTACAAAATTTTCATATTCCAATCACGTAAAAAAAGTTTCATTATAATTGAAGTGGCACATATTTTATCCTCCCCATGAAAGTATTGTTGATTTTTACCAACAAAGAGTGGTTTTTGTCTTCCACATATTTTGAATACTGTTCCATATACGTCTCTCTTGTCAATGATTGTAGTTTAATTGGTTAACTTAATTGTTATTAAGTTGGTTCCAAAAGTTATGATTTAATTTTTAATAGAGATAAATAAACTTTTTAATTGCTTAATCTGATGTCTAA